GGATTTTTGAAACTGATATTGCCAAGTTACATCAAATAGCCTCAGATGTACGCAAAACGTATAGTCCTCCTGGGTGGTCCCTGTGGGGATGGTTGACTGATTGGTTCCCTGGATGGGGATGCGGATGATTACTATTTGCTGGGTTGGTCATCTTCCTGGCTTTGTGTGTTCTAATCTGTTGCTGTATCGAGGCCACCCCTGCCATTATGCAATGTATTTGCCCTCACCAAATGCGCTCCTCTTTTTATTAAATGAAACACCTTCGTGGACATTGATGCTACATACTTATCTCAGTTTCTAGAGGGGGGGGCTGTAAGAAGGGAGCAAATGCCAAAGAAGAAGAACTTTGTAAAGAAGACTCAACATTACTTAGATATAAACTTGCTCTGTGCATGGGTAACTGCTTTGCTGAGATGTGAGAAATTATAACCATTTCATATGTTCTTCAAGGACCAATCAACTGCTGCATACTTTTGTTCTTTTTAAAGAACTGTATAAAAATTTGAACCCTGTTGATCTTGGGGGGTACTCACCCTCCTGGGCACCCAAGTGTGTGCTTGTTTTATCTGAATAAACCTGTTGCCCTTTCCTCCAAAAACCTGTCTGCTTATTACTATTGCTTGAAACTTGGCTTAATGAAATTAGCTAAGAGACTGAGCTCCGGGAATAACAAAAGTACTGAATTGAGAGCTGGTGGGTGCATGCATTGCAGCCCATCAAAGTACAGTATTTGGACCAAAGCAGGGAGCAGAGCTCCAGCATTAGAATTCATGAGACTTCTTTTTGCTAAAGTTCTGACAGCAGTGGCAGAATACCTAGAAAATTCCCCAAGTGTTATGTGTAATGTAGGGAGGGCTGTACCTGTTGTGCACATGAAAGTGTTCCAAGAGCATGCTTTTCTGTCTAGAGTATGGATTGCTATATTATTTGGTTAATAAAATTTTACCCCAAGTCTGAGCTCAATTACCTGGATTCCCCTCATGCCTTTTTAAGCCCTGCTCTCATATTGTGATATCACAAGGATCCACCTTGTTACATCACAAACAGCCATGCCTGTGACATCACAATGACATCTGTGCCCCTAATTTCAGGTATGGATTCTGAAATCTCAGTGAATGGAATATTGCTGTCTAGGCAATCCTAATTGAGACTCCAAGTGGAAAAAATCTGTTATTCCATGGGATTGTGATTTTTCTGTATCGAAGACTGCCATATTCTAATTCCCAAACCCTGGTATCTTCACCTGCATCAAATGTAAATTGATTGCTAATTATGAAGTGGGAAAACCATTTTCAGGAGGGCTTCCAACCACAGATTACAGGTAAACATTACATATGAAGATTTTATCTAGAAGACACACTCTCTCACCACCCAACTGGAACAGGTAGAATCAATAAAGAGTTGTATGTTAGTGGATAGACTGGTTAACTGGGACTCAGGAGGCCTAGGTTTGAATCCCTTTTCAGGCATGGAAGCTCACTGGGGGTGTGGAACTGGTAAAACCACTCCCTAAATATTTCAAATACCTTGAAAGCCCTAATGGTTCCAACTTGACATCACACAACGACTCTTTGAGATGCTTGGTTTTAAAACCTGAGATTATCTAACTTTTATCAGTTCCTTTCTTCCTTTGTGTGAATCAAACTAAATTATAAAAGACATGCATTAGGTGCTGGGGTGGGAATTATTCAGCAGGGAAAGGCAAGTGGGAAAAAGTTTGGGCATCCCTCCCATGATTCCCATGATCTTCATGCCTCACCTTCACCTGCCCTGATGTTTACCTAACCCTTTTCCTTGGAAATAATGTAAGGACTTCAGTGACCCAATGAATGAATGACTTCCAAAATGTCCTGTTCTAAATTGCCTTGCTCTGTTCTTGTAAACTGTGCGTTCCTTTGCAGAGTCAGTCTATATTGTGGCAAGTCTGGGCCTGGATCCCCCTCTTCCTCATCCTCTCCAGAACAGCTCTTTCTCCCTCTTGCCAATCCAATCCAGTCCTGCCCCACCCACAGGTGCAGCTCATCAGCCTCTGCCACCTTCTTCCCATGTGGGGCTTTGTTCTCACTCCCGGTGCCCTTAGGCTGTTCTGTTGCTGGGACGTCTGTGGAGTCCATCAACGGCATGGGCCAAAACCTCATGAACAGCTCATTCTTCAACAGTTGGTTGTTGCCTTTTACTTCTCAGTTCCTAAAAATGTTAACTCTGAAATGGAATGCTTGGGTTGCATGAAGTAGTTCACAAAGAGCTGCTCTTGTATTTCACGTGTTGCAGAGAAATTCTCCAGACTTTTGCTTGAGGGGCCATTGACATTTTGGCATGAGGATGTTGTGCAAGGACTACACACGTACGACATACTTCAGCAATGAGTGAGTGTGTGCTTTCGTGCCAACTTGGAATGGATGGAGATGGGAACCCAAACTCTAAAGCCAACTCATGCACAAAGATCAGACTTTCCCTTCCATCAGTGCCAAATGCTCTGAGACTTGACTCCCTGACCTAGAAAAGCACAGCAATTCCCCAAGGCATCAGCCACTGCCCTGAATCCTTGCAACCTTATTTACAAGTTACTGGCCTCCACCAGATTAGAGAAAGTCTGCTGTGTATTTGTGCATTTGCACTAAATAGAGTAAGTTAAAGAAAAGTGTACCCCAGAACTGCATGCTATTATTGATCAAACAGCCTCATCCTGTTAAACAGAGAGGTCTTAAGGGAGCTTCTGCTCTCATTTGCTTGAAATTAAAGTAGGAACAGTCTTTCAGTTTGGAAAAAAAGCAAAGCAAAGCAAAGTGTGCTGCTTATATACCGCCCCATAGCACTTCAAGCACTCTCTGGGCAGTTTACAAGTTCATTATGCAGGCTACACATCCCCCCCCCCCAGCGAGCAGGGTACTCATTTTACTGACCTCGGAAGGATAGAAGGCTGAGTCAACCTTGAGCCGCTACCTGGGATTGAACCCTAGGTCGTGAGCACAGTTTTGGCTGCAGTACAGTGGCTTAACCACTGCGCCACGAGGCTCTGAACCCTGAGAAAGCAGATTTTCTAACTTCACCCTTCTATGCAGGGCTGGCTTCTAGTAGTTTTCAGGCAAAGACAGACAGAACCAACAGCATTCAGATCTCCTTCCACATAGGAAGATCAGGGGAGTGACCAAGTGAGAACACTACAGAAGAGGTGAGTTTTCAGTTCATACCCATCTTCCCTCCATGCTTTCAACTCTCATACAAAGAAGCCAAATGCTTATTATAAAATGTGTCCAAGGAATTCTTACAGGCTATTTCCAAAGAATAGGTTCCATGATCGTCAGTGCTGGAAATTGTGGAATGCAAATATACAGCATGGGGTGGCTGGCATCAGGCCTAAGGGCTACATGTGACTATTCTCCCAAAACATTTTCTTCTTCTTTCTGCTACTTCTGTGGGTTGTCGGCCCCTGCCATTCCCCTGCCATTTGGGAAAACTACAGCTGCTGGGGAAATGGTACCAGCAAACAGACTGTTGTTACCATTGCTGACAAAATGATGCCACCAGAAATTAGTGCAAAAAGAGGGTATAATTTGGCCTTTCCATCTGCGAGTGATAGGAGATGCTCTGCCCTGTGATTTGACAGGGTTTTTAGATGGAGCTGTTCCCCAAACAGAGACACAAACTTCTAATTGAGAAAGTTAGGGTCACCCAGGCAAGACCTGGGGCCCTGTTTGCAACCCAGTAAGTCCCCCAAACATGGGGGACTAGCTGCCATTTTCCTGTCTTTTTCCCAGGCTGCCCTGCAAATCTGGGAGGGAACTGAACCACGAGAAGGCTGGTCAATCAAGGCTGATCAGGTGGTGAATAGGTGGAGATTGTTTGTCTTAGTTTGATTGTTTGTAGTGGTAGGCAGCTTTGAGTATAGGAGCAGAAACTCAGTGACAAAGAGAGTCATGTGGTCCTCTCCCAGGCATGAGATCCTTTTCTCAGGAAGGTCAACAAGAGGGACTGAAGGGCTGACGGGGATTTGCCCAGCTTTTGACTACAGCTCTCCCCATAAAAGCCAATATCAAGGGGACTCCTACCTGGTGGTGTGGCACACGGTGGTATGTCCCACTCAGGTGACTAAGCCAGCATTGGGCCAGCGAAGCTGGGCATTGGTTGGCAGGCAGGTTATCCAATGCAGGGATCTGCTCTTAATGCTGTGCCAATAATTTTGGCAGCAACCAGCCCAAGCCTTGACCATTCTCAATGAACAAAATCTCAACCGAAAGCCACTGTGTGTTTATTGGGGGGTTGGGTGTTTTCATGGTTATTTCAGCTGGGACCGCAGTGTATCATGTCTATAGCACCCCTCCCAGAAAGTCACAAATGACATACAGGAATGTTTTGGTGAGTTTGCTGGACAAGAAATATAATTCGAAGTGTTTGCTAGTTGTCTTATAACTTGCATCTCCTTATTGTGTCTCTTCTGACTGCTTCCTTAAGAATGATGAAAGAGACCAAAGAAATATTTCCAGCAGCAAGACAGTGTGTGTGTTGGTGGTGGTAGTTTTAGATAAACCATGGTCAGCCTGAAGATTTCTCTGTCTTCTAATATTTTACACTCAAACATAGCAATAGACTGTTCAATTGGTTGTGTGAGCATAAATTGTGATGGGGGCCCTTCCTCTTCCTGATCTGCTGTCTTTTAAACTCAACAGCATGAGTACATCAATGGTCTACAGGAATGGATGATGTTATCCATAGAGGTAGATTAATTGTGGATTATGGGTTTGTATGGGGAGTTCGGTTACAGATCTTGTATTATAATCACTTTCATTGTGTTTGTTTGTTTTTCCAAGGATTGTCAATAAAAGCTTTTAAAAATGCTCATGGAACCATCAATTGTGCTGAAGATGAATCAATGAATTAGTGTGAAACAGAGGAACTTGCCATAAGATTTCTTGATTACTCAATCTGTGATTGTGTTTTCCTTTTTCTATTGTACTTCCTTTGAAAGTCTGCTTTAGGCAAAGGTATAATATAAGCACGAGAACCTCTGGAGCTCAGTCAAGCACAACCCTTCTCTGGAGAACAAGCATCTTGCTTCTCAGGACCACAGCCAAGAAAAACATTGCTCGCCTCACTATGAACACCAAGATGGTCGTCACCCTCCTCGCACTTTTTCTGGTCTCCGCTGCTCTGACAGAAGGTAGGCAAATGCTTCACTCCAAACTTGGTCTCATCTTTGCATCTGAGGGATACCTTTCTGTTGAAACTGATATGCGGTCTCTGCATGATTGTGCTCAAGGCTGAAGCCACCAATGCAAATGCCACACTGAAATTATGATAATAATTGCATATTGTTCAGAAAAAATGTCCCTGCTGTTCTTTTGGCTCTTGTTCTGAATGCTGTAAATGTTGTTTTGATTGCTGTAGAACTTCAAAATTCTGCTGACCCCTTGTGGAAAATATACAGAAAGGATTTCAATCCTTTTCTTGTACAGTATTTGTGTCGTTCTCGGTTTGCGCTCAGCATATTAGATACACGCAAATATGTCTTTACAGAAGCTTTAAACTAGTTCTTGGAGAATACATCTATCAACAGCTGTTAGAAATGACAACTAAATGGAACCTCCAGGTTCCATAGCAGGCTACCCCTGAGCACTGAGTGCTACAAACAGTTGAGAGGGAAGGGACATCATCATTCTTCACCAGCTATTCTTCAAAACAGAATGTACAACAGGTGGACTTTATCCTCAATCAGAAAATGACACATTCAACTCCAGATGTACATTGTTTGAGTTATTTCCCCCACCCCACCTTCCCCAGATCTGTTGAATAGTATCACAGTAGGCTAAAATTAATCTCATTCCCACAGTGGTTTATAATGGATTATACCACATGGGAAAGAATAACTACCACTAATTTTGTAGCAGGAGTTCTAATTTTACAGCATTTTTACAGCCCTTTCTGAATGACACTGAATTGGGCCTGAAGACCAGTTTAAAGAGGCTTTTGGAAAATTGTTTCTAATGAGATTTTAAATATTAATATGCATTCGATTGTTGGAGTATTATTCTGTTTAATCCAGTTTCTATTCCTATGTTCCTCTATAGATGTCTCCGTGCCTCCGAAAGAAAGTGAGCTTCGGTGCCAGTGTATAAGTACTCATGCCACTATCATCCCTCCTTCTAAAATCCAGGATGTTAGACTGATGCAAAGTGGGCCCCACTGCAGTAATGTTGAAGTTATGTAAGTACCCTTTTGATCCCTTTCTTCTCCTCTTTCTCTCTTTCCCCTATTGACTTAGGACACAATACATTCGGACCTTTTGCTGTATAAGGGACACTGAAATCCATGGAACACTTTGCCACTCCCAAGCATTTCTATAATGGGACTGTCCCAGGAGAATTTCCCAACTGGCAGTTAAAAAAAAGAATTAGCAAATATTTTAGACTGGCAAGATCAATAGCTTAAATCCAATTATAGTCCCAGATGGAGTGAGTCAATGAGAACAGACCAGCAAGAGTAGATCAGTGAGGACTTCACAAATCAATAACAGTCTCAGGGTGTCCCCAGAAGAAGAGAATGCTAAACCACTTCTGAGTGTTCTCTACCTGGAAAACCCTTAAAAAGTTTACCAGAACTCATAATTGACTTAACAGCACATGATTAATATCATGAGAAAATGACAACATTCTGCAAAACTGATGTCTAACGTCTTCCAATTTTTTTTTAAAATTGCAGTGTTACTCTTAAGGACAGTCGACAAATATGCCTGGACCCCACCAGGAACTGGGTGAAGGTGATCATCAAGGCCATACTCAAGAAGTAAGTTGCCAACCTCTTCCCATTTTAAATATGTGCAATCTTGTGCATATCTATTCAGATGTAAGCTCCACTAAATTTCATGGGGCCTACTTCCAGCTAGATCTGCTCAGGGTTGAAGCTTCTGTTTTCCTTTAAGTAAACCTTGAGCCTGAGAACTGAATTATGTCCCATGACCTCAGTGAATTTTACCCCCTTTACCCAAATCCACCACCACAGCCTCAACAGATCAGACAGGCGTTAATAAAAGTGGAGTTTTTAATAACTTTGTCCTAACTGCTCTCAGCACAGACATCATGTCACTCTGTAAGGTAAGTTTGGCAAGAAAACTAGTTTTTTGATCTCTCTGAAATTGGCTAGATGTCTTTGAAACCTGAACACAGAGTAGGAAACCACATCAGTGAACAGAAGTCAATTTCTCACCTCATCCCCACACTCCAGAAACTGAATCAGACTTTTAATTCTACCAAGTTTTTGTAAAATTTTATAGCTTATTCCATTCTGAATAATTATTGACTAACTTTTTGTCCCTAATCTCTTCCTGCTTTAATGTATTCCAGTGCTCAAGGCAGTGTCTAATCCGTCCCCACACTCCAGAAACTGAATCAGGCCTTTAATGCTACCAAGTTTTTGTAAAATTTTATAGCTTATTCCATTCTTAATAATAATTGACTAACTTTTTTCCCTAATCTCTTCCTGCTTTAATTTATTCCAGTGCTCAAGGCAGTGTCTAATCCCAACTAGAAGGAACATATCAAGATTTTCTTTATTGAAATAAACTGATCATCAAGCCTACTTTTTTAAAAAAAGCATTTACTGTATATCTACTTTGTTAGAAAGCCTTTTTTAAAAGGATTTGTCACAAATGCACTGAAAATGCCATATGAGGAAAGTGTAAAGATGTGACAGGAATTGAAGAAAATTTGGAAAGTGGAACAAATAGCTGAAATAAATATGATTGTCTGTCTGTTGTGCTTTCAGAACATCTGTGTACCAAAACCCAAGGAACAAGGTGAGAGTACTGAACTGAGAGCTGGTGGGTGCATGCCAGTATGGTATTTGGACCAAAGCAGGGAGCAGAGCTGCAGCATTACAACTCATGAGCCTTCTTGCTAAAGTTCTGACAGCAGTGGCACAGTACCTAGAAAAAAGCTCTCCAAGTGCCACACATAGTGTAGGCTAGCCCATGTGGGATGCAAGTCCTTCGGGAAATGGTAGCAATTGCTCTACCTGGTGTGCACGTGAAAGTTGGCCTGGCTTTCAAAAAGCTTGATTTTCTGTCTAGAATATAGATTACTCCTGAGCCTTCTTGCTAAAGTTCTGACAGCAGTGGCACAGTACCTAGAAAAAAGCTCTCCAAGTGCCACACATAGTGTAGGCTAGCCCATGTGGGATGCAAGTCCTTCGGGAAATGGTAGCAATTGCTCTACCTGGTGTGCACGTGAAAGTTGGCCTGGCTTTCAAAAAGCTTGATTTTCTGTCTAGAATATAGATTACTATATTACCTGGCTAATAAAGTTTTACCCCGAGTCAGAGCTCACTTACCTGGATTCCCCTCATGCCTGTTTCTGTGATATCACAAGGATCCACCCTGTGACATCACAAACACCCATGCCTGTGACATCATAATAACATATGTGCCCCTAATCTCAGGTATGGATTCTGAAATCTCAGTGAATGGAATATTGCTCACTGAGCAACCCTAGTCGAGACCCAGAGTTCCTCTTTTGTGACCAGGCCTGAGAAACGGTAGCAGTGGAGAAAATCCCCTTTTAATCCATGGAATTGTGATTGTTCTATACTGAGGACTGCCATATCCCAGTTCCCAAACCCTGGTATTTTTCTCTGCATCAGATGTAATTTGATCCATAATTATGGAGCAGGAATCAATTTTCAGGAGGGCTTCCAACCACAGGTAGATATTGCACATGAAGATTTTGTCTGAATGACACACTCTCACTCCACCCGAATGGAACAGTTACAGTCAACAGAGAGTTGTAGATTTACTCATGAATCAACTTGAACAATTGCTTCCTTATGACGAAACACCAGTTAAAGTTGGGCTATTCCTCAAATGTGTTTCCCACAGAACATCTCTTGCACAGATTAAATAGAGAAAATAGAATTTTTGAATCTTTTCATATCAACAGTAGAGGCTCTTTCAGTTTTCTTTTCAATGGCATTAGACTGTTGCTTTCAGCGTAACACACTGGCAAAAATATTTCACACTGGCTCCTTGGCTCATCAAAGCAGAACTAATCCTCCATATCTTGGTCCTTAGGATGCTAGTGGCTGGTAATTAGGAAAGTTCAGGTCATAGTAAATGAATACCGTAACCTTTACTATTATTACATTATTTTTACATCTCTGAAAAGTGAGACATTCTAAGCATAGATGTAACTCAGGCTATTTTTCTTTCAGACTGCTAGAGATGAGGGATTTTGTAATACAGTATATCTTTACAAATACGTGAACAGACCAAACAGTTCAATACTTGGAAATGTTATCATTGAACTAAAAGCATCAGGACCATAAATAACGGGACAGTATGGTGTGTAGACAGCTGATCATGAAACTGTTCCCTATTACTATAGTGAAAGAAAGAAGCATCATGCTTGGCTTTAAAAGCTGAAGTTCTCTAACTTTCATCAGTGCTTTCCTTCTTTTTTCCTTTTCCTCCTTCCTTCTTTTGAATCAACCAAAATTATCAAACGCCTGCATCAGGTGCCGAAGTGGGGAATTTTCAGCCGGGAACTGCAAGTGGGAAAAAGTTAAGACATCTTCTCCCATGATCCTCATACACCATCCCCACCTGTCTTGATGTTTCCCTGAACCTTTGTTCAGGGCTTTGTTTACACATTTATTTCTGCAACCGGATAAGAAGAACATGTGGCAAAATGATTTGTACAAAGAACAGCAGAGGCCAAATCACATTGCAAGGGAAATATCTGCATTCTTGCAATTCTCTTGCAGGAAAAAGCCCAACACCCTTGACCGTGGATGGGCAGGCTGTTTTATGAACTGTAGAAGCATTTGAACAGGCAGTGAACTTGATCATGTGAAGCAAGACAAACAGAAATCGCGTCCTCTGTGTGTGTGCTTTTTTTAAACTGCTGTATCACAACATTGGTGCTGACCTGGGTGGGGATTTGGTGAGTCAGCTCCTCCATTAAGTTCCTTTGATTCAATGACCCTGTTCTGCATGCAACTTATTATGCTAAGCAACAGGATCTCAGAAAACATTGCAGTACCGAGTGCTCCTCTACAGGGTTCTTGTCAGCAATGCTCTTTTCCATTACTGTATTCCCAATTCCCCCCAGGAAAACACTGTGTTTTCTATTCCCTTCAACAGATCCTCAATACTCAAAGGCCAGTGAGCCTGCACAAGCCTTATTATACTGTTTTAGGTTTTCCCTCTCCCTTCCTCTTCTGTTTGCTTGTTTTTTCCTACGTTTTTTTATACCTTTGGAAACATTTCGGTTTCTGCAGCGAAAGATTTTCTGAATTTAGTATTATGGCCCCTTTTCACTCCTGCTGTTTAGTTCTCTGTTTCTCCTTCAACATGTACATTTTTAATTGTTTCTGAAAGTACTAATACTTGCAACTTCAAAGTACAAAATACAAACTGTTTTTCTACTTTTAGAACAGAACAAACTGCTTCTGAGTGAACTATACCTTTAAAAAAAAACACCTGGAAAGGGTTGCTTTAATTCAAAACAGAGTTGACGGGACATGATTACTTAATTCTAGAAAGATTAAATGCTGCTTTCCTGGGAAATGGCAGCAGTTGCCTAAAGGAAGGGAATTTTAGCATCTTTTCTCAGGGAGCATCTCCCACAATGGACCACTTGTGGCCAGAGGACTCCTTCACTAGCCACAGGTTCTTACAAATTCTTCCCTTGAGCCCCCAAGCAAGCATTCTTCCATGGGCTTGTTGACACAGATTATTTGCATGTCAGTGGCAGAGAATTTCCTGAAATGATAGCTATACTATTGCTGCATTATTAAATCATGCTGTGTTTAATTAACTTTCAGATACAGAAATAAAACTAAGTACAGTACTGTACCTGTAGTATACAATAACAAGTTGCCACCTCAGAGCATCAAGTTTACCCAAAAGGAACCTGTTCCTGTTTTCTAAAGTCCAGACGGACAGACTGAGACTCCAGAGAGGGGAATTCCCTGGCCTCTTCCTTGTTTTTGGTCATACAGGTTAACCCAAAAGCATCAAGGCCATTCCATTCCCCCCTCCAGTTCTAAACAGTTTCGACTTTTGTTTTAGCAATATGGGGGTTTCTGGGACTTAAGTCTACAAAAGCAATATTTCGAACCTCAATGTTTAGCCCACATAATACTGTATCACCTTGGAAATGTACAAGGGAAAGAAAACATTTTAAAAAAAAACTTCAGCAGATGGCAAAATGTAATCGTTGAATTTAGCAAGCTAAAATGGCGCCCATTCCTGGTTCCAGGGGTTTTGGATCACCAGCAGGTAGTCTTCCATGAACGCATGGCAGATGGGCACTGGTTCTCCCCACAGCCTTCGCCCAGACCGACCAATCAGACTCTGTTGTTGTTGTTAATTATGATGATGACAACGATGTGTGTCACCAAGTCACTTCCAACCTACGGTGATCCGATAAATGATCAACTTTCCTGTCCTGTCCTCAGCTCCCCTGCTCAGCGCTTGTAAACCCAACCCTGTAGCTTCCTTTAGGGAGTCAGTCTTTAGGGTGGCATGTCTAGGCCTGGATTCCCCTCTTCCTCGTCCTCTCCAGAACAGCTCTTTCTCCCTCTTGCCAATCCAATCCGGTCCCACCTCACCCACAGCTCATCAGCCTCTGCCACCGTCTTCCCACGTGGGGCTTTGTTCTCACACCTGGTGCCCTTACGCTGTCCTGTTGCTCGGATGTCTGTGGAGTCCATCAAAGTGCTTGAGGCCTGGTTACAGCCAGAGCATCCCCCTCACGTAGCCATTCTCCTTTGACTACTGATAAGGAGTGTTTTTCCCCTCTCTTGCATTCTTTGAAGAGTATTAGTTAAGGAATTTAATAATTGTGTTGTTAAATCAATTTTTTACTTATGGAAACCCTTTTCAGGGCTTTCCAGGTACTCAGAAGTTTACATTCCTTTCTTCTGGGGGTACCCTGGGACTCTGCAGCTTGCCCAAGGCCTCTCAGACTGCTCATAGGAGGCACAGTGGGGATTTGGACTCCAAACCCCTGCCTCTGTAGCTAGATAGCTAAACCACTAAACTATCCAGTCAGCTAGGTATCACGTTTACAGCTATATAAAACACCTATGAAAAGCCATTTTCCGATTCTCATTTAATAAACATGAAGGGCGAGATCCTTGCAGTAATGGCTCATGATCCAGATTCTCTTTAAATCTGCTGGACACAAACTGTTTGAGTTTGAACCTCGTGAACAGCTCTTTCTTCAACAGATGGTTGTTGTCTTCTCAGTTTCTCAAAATGTTAACTTTGAAATGGAATGCTTGGGTTGCATGAAGCAGTTCACTAAGTGATGCACCATGCTGGGTAGATTACAATGTGACAAAAACACAACAATGCATACAATTAAAATAAAACATTGATCTGACTCCCCCAAACAAAGACGTAGAGAAGCACAGCAGTTCCCCAAGGTTTCAGCCACTGCCCCAAGCCCTTGCAACCCTACGTAAAAGTTATTGTCCTGCACTAGTTTAGAGAAGGTCTGACATATATTTTTGGATTTGCACAAAATAGAATAGATTAAAGAAGTGTCCCTCCCAGAACTGCACAGACAATGGACTGAGACTTAGTAGTTCCAAGACTGGAATAGCTATGGACCGGCTAACATTCAGAATCCCTTGCTCTTCTGAAGTACTCAGGGACACATTGTTTTTATCCAGGGGTGGGGGCTGCAGCTAAATAACAAATGCTGTATTAAAAATGGATAGGCATGCTATTTTTGGTCAAACAGCCTC